GGGAAGGATGCTAAAAACAGCCCGGATAATTAAAGCCTGCGGGACGGTGAGTCAGCGGGGACGTGTCCCCAGTGGAGGTGACCGTGGGGACAGCACCGGCCCTGTCCTGGCAAGGGATGCTGTGGGGATTCATCCTGTCTGGCACGCTGGGAATGGGAGCCTTGCACCAAGTGCATAAACCCTGTGCAGAGCTGCTAATGTGTCACCATCCCCTGAGGCTGGGGACCCCATGTCAGCATCCCCTGGGGATAGGGATCCCATATCAGCATCCTCTGGGGCTGGGGATCTTGTGTCAGCATCCCCTGGGGCTGGGGACCCCGTGCCAGTATCCCCTGGGGATAGGAATCCCATGCCAGCATCCCCTGGCACTGGGGACCCCGTGCCAGCCTCCCCTGGGGATAGGGATCCCATGCCAGCATCTCCTGGGGATAGGGACCCCATGTCAGCATCTCCTGGGGATGGGGACCCCGTGTCAGCATCCCCGGGGCTGGGGACCCTAAGTCACCATTCCCTGGGGATAGGGATCCCATGCCAGCATCCCCAGCCCTGCAGGGAGGACACGGACACATGGGCAAGCGCCCTGGCTGTGTACCTGGAGAAGGTGTTCCTGGCGTAGTGCATGATGCTGTCGAAATCGTAGGTCTCACCCAGTGACTCCACCTCCTCCGGCTCCATCTTAAGGAAGTTGTACTCCTGCCCTGCGGAGGCAGACGGGATGAGGACGATGTGGGGGGGGGACCTTGGTTTTGGCAGGGAGGAAGAGGAGGAGGAGGAGTGCGGCTGGTCCTTACCTGGCTGGATGTTCTCCCGGATGATGGAGACGTGGTCATCCCGGTCGGGGCGCGTGTGCTCGTGCCAAAACCCGATGACGTGGCCCAGCTCGTGCACCACGATGCCAAATTTGTCACAGTTCTTGCCGATGGAGATGGCCTGGGGTCCTCCTCCTCGGCGGCCCACGTAGGAACAGCACCTGGAGGAGGATGATGATGGGTGGCACTGGGTGAAGCCCTGCGGTACAGACATCCCGGTGCTTCCCAGGGGTAAAGGCATGAGTCAGGCTGGGAGCATCCGCCCTCAGGGCTCACACAGGGGCAAACCAGCACACCCCGCCACCCCGGCACCCCCTGGCGCCATGCAGATCCCATTCCAAGGGAAACCTGCCCCAAACCGCCATCTGCTCAGCTGGGGCCGTGCCCGAACGCGTGAATATGCTGAGCTCCTCCAACCCCCTGTTTCCTTTGGCATCAGCCCTGCTGCAAGCCCAGGCTGGTGCTGCGCCCCCAGCCTGGCAAGTGCCACAAGTCGGTGGCTACGACACCTCCTACGCGCTGGCCACCCTGGGGACGGGTTCCCTTGGCTTCCCTTCCCAACAAAACCAGTATCACCACACACAACCCCCAACATGGGCATTTCAGTGCCATGGCACGAACATCCTAAGAGCTGCCGTGCTCCCTCTTTGAGGCAAGGGACAAGGGGGTCCCGATGCGTGGCCGGGACTGAAGCAGGGTGTCCACGTACCCGCAGGGGCGGTAGGTGAAGACGATGTAGCTGTCCTCGTCGTTGCGCTCCAGGAAGGTGACACAAGTGTGCTTCTCCCAGTGCCGCATCGCCTGCCGGAAGATGGCTCGCTGGCTGCCTGCGGGAGGGGGCGGCGGGGGCCGTCAGCCCAGCGTGGGGAAACTGAGGCACGCCAGGAACGGAGCGTTTCTCCTCCCAGCACTCACCGCTGAAGTTGCCGCTGATCACGTAGGGGAT